TTGTGGTATGCATAATCTTTCACTAAATTTATCTCAAAACCAAATGAGATGACGACTTAATAAAATTTATGGTACCATCTACGGAAAGCCTACTTAAGTCTATAGATCAATTTCTTTAGTTTGTAAACTATTTGTCGTGCATCTCCGAATATAAAATTTTCTAGTTGCACTATATAAATTGTCTCATCAATGTCACCATTGAGAAACGTTGTCTTAACATCCATTTGATGTAACTCAATATCAAAATGTGTCATTAAAGCTATTATAATTTTGAAAGAGTCTTTCGATGAAATCGGAGAGAAAGTCTCTTTATAATCGATGTCTTCATTTTGTGTAAAGCCCTTAGTGCAAGACAGGTCTTATATCTCTCCACATTACCTTTCGAATTTCTCTTGGTCTTAAATATCAATTTGCCACAAATAGGTTTCGCATCTTTAAGCAATGGACAAGATCCCAAATGTCATTTTCCTTCATGAACTTTATCTTTTTATTCATGACATCAATTCACTTTTAAGAGTTAGAATTTTTAAGAGATAAAATTTTTCATAGCTTGACAGAAGTTGATAGGATCATCTTCCTCCATACTATTGTCAAACTTATGTTCTTTGAGATATATAATATAATAATCTAAAATTGCACTTCTCATCTCTCTAGTAGATCTCCTTAATAACATAAGTTTTTAAAGGTGTGAAGTTTGTGTTTTAGGAGCAGTTTTCTAAACAGGAACGAGAGATACTATGACATTGTTTTGATCTAAATTTGTTTCTTGAATAATGCTATGTATAAGAACCTGTTCTTGATAATTGTCAAGAGCAACTGATGGAATAGGAATGTCGACTCATTTCTCTTCAAAGATAAGATCTGAACTCTTCTCCACCTGTAAAATCAACATCTTCAAAGAACTGAGCATTTTTTGTTTCAAAAATTATTTTAGTAGTGGAATTAAAAAACTTGTAACTCCTAGATCGCTCTGAATAATTAACAAAATAACAACTAACAGTTCTGAAGTTCAGTTTCTTTTCTTATGGCCTATAAGGCGTAGCCTTAGTTAGACATCCCCAAATGTGCAAATGTCTTAAACTAAACTTCTTATCCGTCCAAAACTCATAAGGAATCTTTGTAGTTGCTTTAGTTGGAACTCTGTTAAGTAAATATGTTGCGGTCTTCAATGTTTTTCTCCAGAGTGATTCAGATAAGGTAGAATAATTAATCAAACTCCTTACCATATCCTTAAATGTTATGTTTTGTCTTTCAACAACATCAGTTATGCTAGAAGAACCTAACGTGGTGTAATGTGGGATGATGTTGTATTCCTCTAGGAATCAAGCAAAGGGTCCTTGATGCTATTTACCTAATTCATCAGATCTACCATAGTATTCACCATCATGGTCAGATCTAACAGTCTTAATCCCTTTATTGAGTTGGTTCTTAACTTCTGCTTTAAAACTCTTGAACACATCCAAAAACTGAGATTTCTTATGAATGACATATAGGTAACTATATTTGGAGTAATCATCCATGAACGTTATGAAATATTATTGACCAATTAAATAAGCCATAACAAATAATCCACAAATATCTGTATGAATGTTTTTTTTTTTGTTTCTCCTTGTTCTCCTCATGCTCATTAGGGCTTTATTGTTGCCATGGAAACGGTTTCAAACGCTAACCATTATGCGCTTTATTTGACCTCAGTCCCTTGCTTCTTGCTTTCGCATGACAGCTTGCTGGTTTTAGAAATACTCCGGGAATATTTCG